ACTCAGCAGTGAGGTGATTGGAGGAAAGATGGGCACCTGAGCTCAAGTGAGGGGCACTAGGCTGAGTGAGATGGGGCTGGACTGAGGCGGCCACTCCGGGAACCCTGGAACATGGCCTTGAATCCCCTGCCCTTCCCCACGCGTTGTGCTGGGCGTCAAGGGCTGCCAGGCATCGAGTGTGGTGTGAGTTGAGACCCGGGGCCAGGCCCTTCTCTCTCCACTCCGGTCTTCCCCTGCAGGAAAGGCAGTGATGACAGCCCACCTCCTGGGGTTACGAGGGTGAAGTGAGCCCAGACAAAAGGCTTGCGCACGCAACCCCGCGCCGCCCTCAGCATCGTGGTCACACCCCCCTGAGGGGTCACAATGATTCCAGCAGCCAGCAAACTAGATGAGAACACCACTCTTCAAAAGGCCTTGCAGATTTCTGGGGAGAAGGAGCTTTGGTTTGAGAAAAGGGTGATCCATGTATTTTGTGTTCATTACAAATTTATAAAACACGATCTTCTCACTTTGAATTCTGTTACAGGCTTTTTTAAACGTTACTGTGTGATGTCAAACTGAACACTGGTTTACAGACCCGGAGTTCCTCAGGGCAGGCCTGTCAGCTGCCTGACCTCCTGCGGGGCCCCGGGCATTGGACTTGATGTTGGTGACAACAGTGATTCTCCTGTCTTCCTTCTGGGACTGTGCCCCTGCCCAGAAGTGAACGAAGCCTTTGTGTTTACGGGCTCCGCTCACCTTTTGAGATTCTGCTCCTTTCCCACATTCCTGCACTGAGTCATTGTTCTGTCTCCAGTCTTGACTTGTCCCCCACTGAGTTAAAGAACCTCCTTTATGTATTGCGAAGTCCCCAGAGGTTAGATAATTACCCAGAGCCAGAGTCTCTCTCCAGGTACCCTGGCTGAGAGGAACAGATTGTGTTAGCAAAATTTGCTGAGAAGGCATGTTAGAGAATTCTATTTCCTGTTTGCTTCGACAGGAAATCAGAAAAAGTGGCCAGAAAAATGGGATGTAACTAATGTGAACTGATGAATGTGTAATTTTTTTATTATATAATACAAATACCTGTCTCATTATATTAAAATGTTAACAATGATCCTCAGGGTATCAGTTAAAAAATTGCTCTACCCAAATAATAAATCCCTGGGTTGCAGAAAGTGAAAGAAACCTAGCATAGCCTAGCATGATCTAGCATGGCCTAGCATGGCCTAGTGTGGCCTAGCATGGTCTTGCATGATCTAGCATGGCCTAGCATGGTTTAACATGGCCTAGCATAGTCTAACATGGCCTAGGATGACCTAGCATGACCTAGAATGGTCTAACATGGCCTAGCATCCCCTAGCATGGCCTAGCATGGTTTAACATGGCCTAGCATAATCTAACATGGCCTAGCATGGCCTAGCATGATGTAGCATGACCTAGCATGGCCTAGCATGACCTTATCATGGCCTAATATGATCTAACATGGCCTACCATGACCTACCATGACTTAGCATGATCTAGCATGGTCTGATATGGCCTAGCATGGTTTAGCACTGGCAGATGCCCAGCACGGCCCCAGGTGGCACTGGCACCTGGATGACCATCTGTCCGATGTGACTCCAGCAGATACCCCACCCTGTTGCTCTTCCCATTCCAGCCTTGTACGTGGCCCTTGCTTCCCTGGCCTGTTGTCACATGTTGAATCCTCCCCGTTATTGATGGATACTCTTGTTTTCCAGGAAAGACCCCACGTCCCCAGCCAGAAATGACTTCTCATGGCCCTTTGAATCTGTCCTCACATCACACCCTGTATCATGATTCCTGTGATTTCTCTCTCTTATTACGTGTTGCTGCGTCTTTGTGTCCACCCACCCCTCAGCGCCAAGCCTAGGGCCCAGTCGATATTCAGGAAAATGTCAGCACATTACGCTGTGGCGATAACCAGCCACCGAAGTCGCAGCGGCTTAATCACCAGCGGTAATTTCTCATGTTCCCTGTCATCTCCTCTCCAAGACACAGACTGAGGGCTCAGCCCCCACGTGGGACCTGCTGTTCAGGTGGTAGTGGGGAAAGGGGAGGTAGCCAGCCGGGCACCCTCTGGAAGCTTCTGCCAGGAGGTGGCCTGGGTCACTCCTGCCCACGTGTGACTAGTGCTCTGTTGTCACCGACCACGCTGGGGCCAGAGGGGGGACATGTGGGCCCCCTCAGGAGGGAGACTTCCCCAGGCCGGACGGACGGCCCTCCCACGGAGGTAGTGGGTAGTTGGAATGAGTGAGTGAGTCTGCAGAGTTATTTCCTGCAGCACAGAAAACCTTCCCTGACTCTCTCAAGCGTGCACTCATCTACCAGAAATCTTTCCAGGCTTGTTGTCTCTTTGTTTCCGTGGCGTGAGCACACGGGGCCTGTCCAGCGACCTCACCTTGGAGCGGAAGCTCTTAAATGCTGACAAGGGAGGGTCTGCAGCTCAGGACTGAGGAGTGGCCAGGTCTGCTCGGGGCCTGGTGGGCACAGGGTTAAGGGGCCATGAGCCAGGGCTCTCCGCTCTCCAGCAAATTAAGACGGAGCCAGGCATAGCCATGTTGTTCCGGCAGCTGCTCGTTGGCCCAGCTGCTACTGGCTGGCCAGGTCGGGGGCAGCGCGTCTGCCCCGGGGGGTCGGGTGAGATGGACAAAGTGCTGCCCTTCCTGCTCTGCGGGGCTTGTGTGCAGGGCCTCCCTATGCAATCAGCCAGAATCCCAGAAGATTCCAGAAATCTTCAGGGGCAGGGTGCTTCTAAAGGCCCCGAAGTTCCTCCCTCACTGCCTCAGCGGGCTCTGTCTCTGGCGGCTCTGTGGCCAGGCTGGCAGGAGCCACCCCACTGAGGACTGGCTCCCTGGGGCGCGGTGGCATCGTCAGCCCTGACGCCAGGCGTCAGCTTTGCAAGCCACCTCTCAGGGCAATCCGTGTTTCAGCACATGTCAGAGGCAGCTGTGCGAAAATGCTCTTTAACACTGGTTTCATGCATGTGACGAAAGCGTCCCGGGCTGATACCCGTGTTTACCGTACATCACGGGCACAAACAAGGGCTCCTCGGACGTTCTGTCCATGCCCCCTGCACATGCGCGATGACCAACAAGCACTGTATTTGGGGCTGTAAACAGCAATGCCTCCCTAAGTCGGGTCGTCCTGCTGGCATGGAGACGCAGACGCTTTCAGGAGCCAAGAAAATGCATCTCAAAACCAACATGCTCTGCTCTCTGTTTGCACACATTTCTGTCTTCCCTGCTGGTGTCGTCACCAAAAACGTCCTTGTTCCCTGCAGCATTTTTATGGCACAAAAGCTGTGTGCTGCAGGATAGCTGGTGGGCACATCAGAGCAGCTCGGGACCTGCATGGAACGAGCGGGTTTTGTCCAGCGCGTGACGACCCTGGCCAAGAGGCACGTGGCCCCTGAATTCCGGGAGCCACCTTGAGTCCCCGGGAGCCCCAGTTTCTGTGGACCTCCGTGTCCAGAAAACAGTCGCAGGCCTGGGGTTTGGGAAGGAAACCCTGGGGTGGGGGTGGGGGATGGGGGACCACGCACAGACGGTTCTAACTGACTACTGGGGTAATGGCCGTGCTCAATTTCGCCTTTCACATTTTAATTGTACAACAGTAATTTTGCGATAGAGTTGCCGATGGCAAACATGCAAAAGACATTAACTTTATTTATGTTTTGGATTATTAATGTGGCTGTTAAAATTCCTCCAGTTAGTTTTGATTGAATTGTTTTTTTGTGTGATTCTGTTGTTTAATGGAGCGGTAAATAAGAATTTCTGATAATGAGGCCGAGCATCTGTCACAACAACCTGGTGTGGGTTATTAACATTTCCATTAACGGCAGGGTGGGCAGCGATAATACGGGAGCCACACAGTTAGAACAAAATAAATAGTCGGTGTCAGGCTGAGTGGGTGTTAATTACTATTTTATTCTGCTTTGCGGGGAGGGAGGGGAAGGGGTGACTCTGGAAGGTCGTTCTCTCCCAAGAGCCGGTGTGCAGGGCCATCGCCCTCAGACAGTGGCTGTGTCGTCTCTGTGCACGGCCTGGAAACGCTCCTGGGCCCACAGGCCGAGGCCCCCGGACAGCTCCCAGGGCTCCGGGGTCCAGCACAGACCCGTGGGGGCGTGCACAGGTGGGCAGGGGAAGGGAGTAGCTCCTGGGAGGCAGAGAGCGGCCCATCATGCACAAGTGCCGGGTGAGGAATTCAGAGACGGCGCGGGGCTGGCACATGCAGAGGAGACGTGTTCTGTGTGTGCACACATGCTCCCTGCTTTCGCCCAGCTTCCCAAGGGCCGCCTGCTGAACCGACGGCCGCAGTGTCTTCCCCACCTCTCCGAGCACAGTGTGGCCTCGGCGCGGGAGGACCAGGTCCTCAGAGTTGAAGCCGTGAGGGGTGGGCCTCGGGGCAGGGGCACGGGGAGCGGTGCCTTCTGTGCTCCTGACCCCATTGGGGGATCAGCCTGGCGTCTGCAGCCCCAGGGAACAGGGCTCCTCCCCATGAGATTCCTGGCATGGGCACACAGATGCCTTATTTTCTCCACATTCCATCCAAAAAGCAGTGCCTCCCTCCACTGCGAACATGGCAACACGCCGCATAGGGCCAGCAGGACCTGCTGCTCACTCAGCGGCAGGCCCCCAGACGTCCCCTGTGGAGTCCCGGTTGGTGCTAAGACCTCAGATCCTCCTGCACGGGTCACACCTTGACGTCACAGTAGCCCTTAGACCAGCCTGCCAGCACCACCTCGCGTCCCGCTCACGAGGCCCGCAGACGACCGGATCATACCTTTGTTTTTGAACACTCTGCCCACTGTGTCTCAGTAGAATCTGTTTTCTTTGTGATTCTGCAGACTATTTTATGCATCGCTAAACGTGATTCTGGGAAGGGTTTGCAGGGCTCCCTGGCATAAAGGTTGGATGGCCCGGGGTAGGCTCTCAGCTAGGGGCCCTGCATGTGTCAACAGACACCTCAGCTGCTGTCCTGCCCTGCTCTCTCCCCAGCCCCGGCCATGGCTCCGCAGAACGTCCAGGTGACCCCGCTCACGGCCAGCCAGCTGGAGGTCACGTGGGACCCGCCGCCCCCAGAGAGCCAGAATGGGAACATCCAGGGCTACAAGGCAATGCTCTCCCGCATGGTTTGGCTCTTCCTTCCAGGTCACTTGTAGGCTGGGATAAGTGGCCTCGATCCCCCAGAGTTCCTTAGGGCTTTGCTGGAACCCCGGCCACACTCCGTATCCTGCCGGCAGACACACAGCCAGCCGTCTGCCTGGAGAGCCACGGGCGATACTGAGCGGCTGGAGCGGGCTTAGCCTGACCTTGCCTCCCAGCCTGGGGGTAGAGACCTGGCGCCCAGCAGTCCGTCCCTCCCAGGCCCAGCCAGGACCCCTTTCTGCCCCTGCACCCACTCTGGGGGCCTCCAGTATCTCTGCTGACAATAAAACAGAGCGGGATGAAGAGAACAGGCTCTCCAGCCCAGCTCTGCCCTTGGGTTTCTATTGAATATTTTGTGAGGTCCAGGCTGGAGGGGCCCAAGAATTTGCATTTCTAACAAGTTCCCCCAGGGGTGTGGTTCCTAGGAAGCCCACTTTGAGAACCACCACAGTAAAATCTTAGGATTTCACATTAGTTAACCATTCCGGAGATGGGGCAAAAGAAAGGCAGTGGGCCGTTAAGTGATTACCAGAGTGGGTTCATCGGGGGGGGGGGGGCAGGAAGCCCCCCACGCCCATCTGCAAGGCCACTTCTGTGCAGAGAACTCAGAAGGACCAGCTAAACCGCCCCGAAGAAAGCAGCCCTGGGCTGTCCCCGGCAAACCCCATGAATGCCTCTTTTGCTGCAGGCCCGGGACGGGCGGTCATCAGCTTCTGCGGGCCAGCCTGCCCTGATGACTATTGGGCCAATTAAATGCCCATTTAAAAATGATTTTTGTCGGTGTTTTATGAAAATAAATACCTTCCTCCACAGCAGGGCTGTTACAGTGATTAATGAGGTAAGGGGAAGTCTCGTGAGCTTGGAGGCAAGATGCTATTTATGTATGTCCAAAACATGTTTTCTAATTTCCTTAATGATAAAGACATTGAACTTGGGTATTGATCTCAAGTTAGTAAAGGCCTGTGCAAGCGCAGCATCGGCTGTGCACAGTTGGGAGAACAGAAGCTGGACCCCGTCTGGCCGGCGCAAGTCAGCTGTGCTCACAGTCCGGGTGCACACCAGCAGTGCCAGACGGGGGGCCCCCGCGGGAGGTGGGAAGCGGGCCCCGGCTCCCTGCGTGAATGGCCTGGCTGGGCTGTGGCCCACGGAGCCAAGGTGGGTCCACGGATGGGTGCTGTCTTTGGGCCGCCCGGCGGCACTGGGGCGGGGCGGCCGTCCTCGGCCCGCTGTCCAGGGAAGCGATCCTGGAAACCTCCTCCAGCCCATCCACGAGCACATACAAGCTGGGTGAGGGGAAATAAATCTGGGAGAAGCATAGGGCCTTCCCCCACAGTGCTGAGCCCGACGTGGTTCTTCCCCAGGTTATTTTTGGTGCCCCGCAGATTGAAGACTCACATGTCGGCCTGCCATGGGAGCGCAGGACAGAGGCCCGGGTTCTCTGCACAGGCTGGAGCAGGGGTGGATAGGGTCGGTCTCCTTCTGTCCAGAAGACTGAGGGATGGGACAGAGGCTGTAAATCAAAGCACCGAGCTCTGGAAAGGAAAAGGCATTCACGGGGAGCTGGAGGAAAGTGCCACGTTCCGTGTTCTGTTAGGCAAAGCCCAAATTCCAGAAGAACAACTCAGAAATGCAAATTATTGGCTTCCCAAACTGTATTAGCAGCCAAGGATCCCCCACCCCCCTGGCACTGACTTCCCTCCCCCCTGCTCTCGGCCTTCGCAGCCGCAGCGTGGCCCAACCCAGGGGCTTCATGCTCAGGCCTGCAGTCCCGCCTCACCCCACACTGGCTGGGCCACCTCCCCTGCATGAGCTCCGAAACGGGGCCTGCCACCCCGTCCCCACGGTCTGCCTCTGACCTCTGGCTCTTTCCAACAGGTTTACTACTGGGAGGCAGACAGCCAGAATGAAACGGAGAAGATGAAGGTCCTGTTCCTGCCGGAGACCGTGGTGAAGCTGAAGAACCTGACCAGCTACACCCAGTACCTGGTCAGCATCTCCGCCTTCAACGCTGCCGGGGACGGACCGCAGAGTGACCCCAGGCAGGGGCGCACACATCAGGCCGGTAGGAGAGCAGCGTGTTTCCTTCCCACAGGCTTCTGTTGGGACCCCCTCTGCCAGCCACAGGCCTGGTGCCCCTGCAGTCGCCCCTGAGCCCAGCTGAACGAGCGGGCCCTGCTCTCTGTGCCCACACCTCACTGCTCTGCCTGACCTATAACACACAGCGCTGTGTGCCAAGCCATTCCTGCAGAGGCCTGGGTTCGATTCATTTGCTTCGCCCGGGGCCTGTCCTCAGCCTGTTGTGTGGCGGCCCCTGATACCCACGAGGCGGCCGTGAGCAGTGCATGTTTTCCCCTAGACGCTCCAGGACCACAGAATGCAGGCAGGCTCTGCATCTGCACCCAGGCCTCCTTCCAGTTCCCTCAGGGAGCTTCTTACTGGGGTCTTGGCCCCAGCATGTCCACACGTTTGGGGGATGAGCACCTGTGCATGGAGTCCAGGCCACAGTATCGGGCGCTCCCCGGGTTTCCGGGGTCGCAGACCACATGGAACGGCTCGCCACCGCCTCTCAGACTCTTGCCACCAGCCGGGCCCAAGAGCACAGGCCAGACGCCACCCTGCCTGCCGCCCCACCCCCACACACGGGGTGTGTTTCCAGCGCGAGGCTCATTCTCCTGTGGCTCTCAGCTTCCCAGCAGCCTGGAGAACTTAGGAGGTGGTCAGGAATTCCCAGGGAATGCAGCTTAGCACTGGTCCTGGGGATCTCTGAGAGGCACTTCGTTCATGGGACCCAGGAAGTGCAAAGCCAGGAAAGCCAGGGAGATGTGTCTCACTCAGGGCTCCCGGGAAGTCAGTGGGTCAACCAGTGAACCCCCCTAGGTGCTTCGTCTCCTGGGGACGGGGACTCCCGAGCATCATGTGTCCTTCCCACAAGATGACTGACCAGCGTGCAAGGGCAGCTTCCCGGGGGCCTCATCCAGAGCCAGGGAGGGGCCATTTCTGGAATCTGAGCTGGGTCACCTGTTCCTCCCCAGGGCACCAGGCACCTGGCAGATCACGGGGTGACTGGAGGGAGCACAGCTGGGAAGACGCGTGGTGCTGATTCCGGGGGTCAGTCTCAGGCACCAGCCCCCCCCACCCCCCACGGAGCACAGGCCAGGGGGCGGTGAGCAGGCTCCGCTCCCTGACCACAGCCTGGCCCTCCACGGCCACAGGCAGCTTCTCCCACCCAGGGTGGCTCGCTGGGGCGCCCTCTCTCCAGCCCCAGGTGGAGCCCAAGAGGGCGTCGCACACACACCCACAGGCCAGGGAGGAGAGGGCCAGGGCCTCCAGCAGCCCGAGTCGCTGGGAAATGAAGCCATCCACCTTTCATTCTGCGCCTCTATCTATTATTCATCTTTGTGCCTTTGTCACTGTGTCTCTCAGTCTCCTTTGTGTTTAAACCCCATCATTTTCTCTGCTCTTCTCGAGAGGGTCCAGGTGTCTGGTGGATCCGGGCAAGTTCAGAGACGGTCAATAAATCTTCTTTCATCCCAGAGCATGGAGACTTTTACTGAGTTGAAAATAACATCTAATAACACTTTTATTCTATGTGGAGGCATAGACGTGTATGTAAATGATCTATAAAGGAGCTTGACTGAAAGTGCCATTACGCTCTGTTCCTCCAGCTCCTGGGACCCCCAGCTTTTTGACGTTCTCAGAAATCACCTCTACCACGCTTAATGTCTCGTGGGGTGAACCGACGGCGGCCAACGGCATCCTGCAGGGCTACCGAGTGGTCTACGAGCCCTTAGCACCTGTCCAAGGTGAGGCCCGAGGGGGGGCAGCAGGGAGAGCCAACCTCACAGGGGCACGCAAGCCACTCCCCAGTCCACAAGAGGCCTGTGAGCCATCGCAGGGCCGGGACCAGAAGGTCCGCGCCCTGGGCTCCAACACAGCCCTCCCCCGGCTGGCTTGCAACAGGACACTCTTTGACCTTTCTCCCTTTGACCCAAGACATTTCTCTTCTGTTTCTGCCGCGTCCTGGGCACCACTTGTTAGAACCACACGGAGAACGTAGGCCCATCATGTTCCGTGGGCATCCCAGGAGAGGCGCTGACCATCCAGTGTCCTCAGAGATTTCTCTAGTGACACCCTCATGCATTCATTCCCTCGAGTCTTTATTAAGCTCCTGCTGCATGCCAAGTGCTGTTCTAGGTGCTGGAGTCTATAGATCCGGGGAAGCAGGGACCTTCACCGAACTGTTTATCACGATCCTTGCTTCCCTGAATCCGTGAGTCTGTATTCCAGCAAGGAGAGAAGCAACACACCCGCAAACAGTCCGCGATGTGATGGTGACCAGTGTCTCGAGGACCCAGGCGTGCCGAGCTCCCAGCCCTGGGGACGTTCAGCAGCACATGGGCCGCTCGGGTTCGGGCTCAGGGTCCTGAGGCCAAGCCTGAGGAGTGGCGACGAGGTCGTTCGAGAGCGGCAGGCCGGGTCACCAGGGTCAGGTCACCAGGGTCGGATCACCAGGGCCAGGTCACCAGGGCTGGGTCACCAGGGTCGGGTCACCAGGGGGTCACGAGGGCCGGGTCACCAGGGTTGGGTCACCAGGGCCGGGTCACAAGGGCCAGGTCACGAGGGCCATGGCTGCAGGGCCCTGAGAGGGTCTGGCTCACACAGACCGGGGCCTCTCTGGCTACAGCCATAGTCTCAACACCGTGGAATGAAAAGATTTATTGATCAGCTCCACCCTTCCAAGGATCAATCAGAAGAAGCACAGACTCTCCAAGAAGAGCAGAAGAAATGTTTACACACAGAGAAGCCTGAGAGACACAGTGACAAAGGCATGAAGATGAATTATTGATGGGAAGAGAAGATACAGAAGCTTCTGGGGAGAAGGGGTTATGGCCTGGCATGGAGGTTTGGGCCTGGGGAGACCAGCGGCAGCCGCGGCACCTGGCAAGGGGCTTGGAGCTGGAGGCCTGGGGGTGAGAAGTGGGGACGGGGGCTGCGTGCATTTGCCGGGGAGACTGCACACCGCGTGGGGAGGGGGCAGTGACGGGAGTGCGTGTGGGCTGGGCCACTCGACAGCACTGCTCCACCCCTGCTGGGTTATCCCTCTGGCGCGGGGGTAATTTCTCGCTTACCCATCCCTCCTCCCCACTCACGGCTGACGTGCTCTCAGAGGGCTCCACAGACATTCTTCCTCACCCACCGTGTGCCCAGGACCGTGCCAGAGAAGGGGGACAAGCCCAGGGCAGGCTCCCCCTGGTAGGATGCACAGCCAGACTGTAAACATTATAGATTATTTAATGTCTAGAACGAGAAAACATAACCAACACATCAAATAATATTGGCACTCCATTTAAAGCCGTGATAAAAGTTTCCTTTTAAAATAAGTACATTCAAGTAAAACGGGGTTGATTGGAAGAAAATTTAAGCACTAGATTTTATGTCATCGAATCTAAAATGCCATTATCAACTGTAAGATTCATTGTTATTTTATGAAGTGCTAGGAAAGAAAAAAATGCTTGCAGTAAACCGCAGCCCAATACGTTTGCATCATCAATCCCAAATCAGAGATGTAAAACTGTGCAGGAAGAAAGGGTCTCAGACCATTGACACGCTTTGGCAAATAACCGCAGAGGTTGGGCAGGTGCAGAGGTCGGGAAATGGTGGAGGGCATGGCACCGGCTGTGTTGTGCTGCTGTGTTCTTTTCAGGATCGGGTGCCTGTCTGGGGACCAGGGGGCCGGGGCGCGGCGGGGTTGGGGTCCCTGCAGCACAGGCCCAGAGGAGCCAGGCATCTGTGCATGCTCGTTCCACGTGGACAAAGCTCAGAGCTCCCCTGGGCACCGTCCATCTGCTGCCCGGTACCATCTGCGCACACTCCCAGGCGTGCACACACATGCACACACACACGGGTTCTGGGAGCCCACGCTGCAGACGCTGTTAGCCACACACGGAGAAAGGATTGCCAGGATTCACAGTCCCGAGCAACCTTGGAGTCCTTCCTCATCGAGACAGCGAGTCTTCAGTGCAGGAAAGGGTTTGTAGAATCTCTAGAAACTCTGTGGCGGGCACCTCTGGGCCTGGCGTCCAGGCCGGCTCTCCTGGTCTTATAAAAAGCACTTGCTGTCGAAGCAAGACCATGGCCGTCGTCCCTGACTGGTGGCGGGCCACGGCAGGCCCTGCTTCTCCATCCCCCATGCTCGGTGGTCCCAGTGTCCCGGAGTCCTGCTGGCTCACCAGGCGTCTGTCCCCACGGCCTCGCCTCACCTTCCAGGGACGTGATCCTGCATGTGGTTTCCCTGGTGCGGTCGGGTGTGTGGTCCCGTGACCACGGCAACCCTGGCATCATTCACAGTGAGACACTCCGGTGCCTCGTGCGCAACTGACACGCAGCTTCCTCGGTGCTCCCTGTAAACACGGCCCCACGTGCATGCCCACGATCGTAGGTGGGATGACACAGCTCCCTACAGACCAGGCCCGTGCGAAGCACCTACACATACTCGTCCGCGCCCTCACAGGCTGCGCGGTGTGGGGGCTGCTTTTACTCACGTCTCACAAGAAATCGGGCTTCGAGCCCTTGAGACAGCCGCCCGGGGCTGCAGGTGGGGAATGCGGACGCGCGTGGGGTTTGAACCCGGGCAGGCTGGTTCGAGAGCCACCGCGATGGGGAAACATCAGGAGCACTTGCACTTCTGCAAGTAAACACACTGGGAACACCACAGAGAAGCGTGCGGAGCGGTCACTGAAGCGTTTCATAGCCACCTGTTCTTCCCATTCTCCCTGGAGTGACAACAGGTGGAGTCACTCGGTGACACCATTTCGCCTCTTGCCCGTCACCGGCATCATCTCTTCTGTCTGTCGGGAGGGCTGCTTCTGCCCACCTGGATCTTCCTGGCTTCGGCAGTGAGCATGATACGCTTTGAACTCAGGGCAGGAGAAAGTGCTTTTGCTCAGCACCTTATGCATTTCTCCAGACTCTCGGGGCACACATCTTCCTCAAGGTCCCCTGCCGCTTAAGAGCAGACCGTCCAGACCCCCAAACTTGGACCATGTCGGTGGCTCGGGCAAATCCCAGACTCACTGATTCCTGCTCATCAGTCGCGTGGCTGATCCAGGCCTGGGGCTGCTGACGGGAAACACTGAAGCTGCCGCTGAGCTCCAGGCTCTCCGCGAGTCAAAGGGTCCTTCGTTTCAACGGCAGACCTCATCCCGAAACAGCACTGTCCCCGCTCCAGCCGGGGGTGAGGCCGGCCATGGGTCCCCCATGTCCTTCCCACATCCTCCCGCTTCCCTGGCCACCAGCAAACGGCCTCTTCCCGAGGAGCAGACTCACCAGCCCTGTTCCTTGGTGCCTCCCTGGTTGACCCTGTGACCTCCTGGGGGTGTCCCTGCTCACCTCTAACATCAGTATCACTTTGCAGGATCCCACCATGTGCCTGCCTGGTCTGACGGCATCTGCCAGAGCCCCTGGCTTAGCCAGACAGAGGACACTAGTTCTGACCCTTTTCAGCCCCGAAGAGGACACAGGGCAGGAAAGGGCAGAAACTCGGAGCAGGAGAGACTTGCCGTGGCCTTTCTCTGCACGTAGGCCCTTTGGGGCGTTTTGACCTGGGGCTGGCGAGGGGAACTTTCAGGTGCACATAGGACAGTGGGTGCTGTTATATGGTGAAAGGGACCAGACGCTCAGGGAGGAGGCCATAGGGGCTGAACAGAAGGCAGTGATGGGGACACACCCAGCGCAGCGTCCTGCCCTTGCTGAGGTGCGATTGCCCAGCATTTCCAGTGGGCTCGTCCAGCCCTTGCTGTCCCGCCTCCACACCCAGATCTGTCTCTCCCAGGGGCGGGCAGGATGGGGGTGGGGGCTCCTCTTGTGGCTCCAAGAAGCCTTCATTGTGTCTCCCCACCCAGGGCAGCGGCTGGCCAGCCTGCTCAGTGTGCAGACCTCTAGGGTGGGGGTCTCTTAGAGAAACCCAACCGCTGCCCCCTTCACGTTGGATCCAGATTTCCAACAGGGAATCATGAATGTAGCAAGTGGGTCTCTGAATGATTTCCGGTTCTTCCTGATGCCTCAGAGAACCTCTACGTTTCCCAGAGATGGAGTTACAAATGTAGTGAAAACATCAGGCATGTTTCCTGGGGGGCTAGCATCATATGAACTCTGCAGAAATGCCAGCCGGCCCTCTTGGGAGGATTGCCAAAGACGTGACATGTGTGTTTATACACGTGTGTGTGGTCAAGCTGGGGAGAAGCTGTAAGACGGTGATGTCGCCCGGTAGTGATTACTAGCCCCGGGCGGTGCCTGGGCTATATGCGGGCAGACTCCGGGCTGGCCAGCCGCTCATCAGCCGGGGCCAGAGGAGCAGAGAACGCGGCAGCCTCCCCCTGCCAGCAGGCCCCAGGGTCACTCCATCGAGAAGACGGGCCTGGCTCATCCCTCACCTCCCCGGGCCAGTCCCCTGGTCATGGTGGGGAGAACCAAGCCACGCAGAGCCTGAGCCACGTTCTGGGGCAACGGATTTTACTTTTATGTGTTTTAAAATGTTTTAAACAGTAGTATTTTATGTGATTCCACCCCAGGGCTTTGTAGTGCAGGGCACAGTTTAAAAATTGACTAAATAAATAAGATTCTGACATGGTTGAGATGCAGGGGAGGTCAGACTAGCTCTACCTCCTAGTGGGATGGAATTCACAAAATCTGTACATGGGTTTGTTTCTGCTCTGGGGAAAAGGAAGGCATTTTTTAATTAAAAAAAAGAGGATTGCTATCCAGAATAAATTTATATTGAAGAAGACCCCATCCGTTTGCTGATGATGGTCTTTGTGCATGCAAACTGTCATCCTGAAACCCCTTTCTTGAGCCATGCAAGGTGAGGGCACATCATCTTCAAACTTATTTAACCAGAGAGCCCCATTTCCATCCTGGAAAATGCTGCATTTGTATAATTTTCACTCTGCGTCTTCCCCCCCAAACGTTAAATCTCGGTTTTCTCATTCCATGTAATACAACCAACCACACGTTCAGTTCGTTTATGTAAGTGAACTGTTGTCTGTCTGTCGTCATAGTTCTCCGAATCGGGGCATCGATATTTGCAGTGGCGGTCTTCGTCCTGCTTCAGAGTCCAAGGATCAAGTTCTCATGAGTGGCTTGGGGGCCTTTGGGGCACAGGTTGGCCAATCCAGTCGGGCTGGAGACCCCTCGAGGGGGAAGCCCATCTTGTAGCTGAAACGAAATCTCCACATCTTCTTCCATGTTCTGTTCTCTGGAGTCGGGAAGCTCCAGGTCACCTATGCAAGCGACACGGAGCCTGGTGCAGCTCAGAGCCCGCAGGAGGGGGGCCTGACCGGGCGCGGGAGGACAGGGGGGCCTACCCTCACGAGGCAGGACGCATGGGCCTCCTCCCGGCGTAGCACCGTGAGGCTGGCTCTTCCCTTTGCCAGCACTACGTATCAGACTCGAACACTCATTACATTTATCTGTGTTGAAAATTACCTATTACCACCACTTAAACTCCTCCCAATTGTAAGAAATACTTCCTTAGAGAGCCAGGCACTCCGTCACTGTTGTCACGGCGAAGTAGGCGGTGCCATGGCTCTTCTGATCCCAGCCCCCTCCTGGCCTTTGCTCTTGGTGGTTGCAGGGGTGAGCAAGGTGGTGACGGTGGACGTGAAGGGGAACGGGCAGCGCTGGCTGAAGGTGCGCGATCTCACCAAGGGAGTCACCTACTTCTTCCGCGTGCAGGCGCGGACCATTGCCTACGGGCCCGAGCTGCAAGCCAATGTCACGGCCGGGCCAGCCGAGGGTAAGTGGAGCTCCACCAAGGGCCCCGCACCCGGTGCCGTGCCGGTCAGGGGCCCGTGCCCACCGTGGGCCAAGCGGCTGTGGCCCAGCCAGAGCAGGCAGAAACGCACCTTTTGGCAGCCTGGGTGTCTTCAAAAGCACATGCTAGCACCAACTTCTCCGGACGGACTCGTTAAACAGAGATGAGCAAATTCTTAGGTGTTAAACATGTAACGTTTGGGGCTGTTTTCTGGAAAAGCTTAGGAGAAAACAAGTGAGTTTTTTAAAGGTTCATTTATTTTTTTTTGTGGGGGGCAGAGGGAGAGCGAGACTCACCGCTAAGCGTGGAGCCCGACTCAGGGCTCGACCTCACGACTCGGAGATCATGACCTGAGCCAAAAACAAGAGTTGGATGCCCAACAATTGTGCTACCCAGGCTCCCCCCCAAACAAGTGTATTTTTTGAAGTAAGGTACACAAGAAATTTTGAAGTGCTCACATCATGCCAAGGAGCCCTGTAGCTTCCCACTTAAACTATTTTGGCATTTTTAAAAAATCCTTAGCAAGGTGAGGGTGGCAGAATCCAGGTTCCCAGAGAGCCCAATGCATGCCAGGTGCAGTCCTGGGCCAGTTGCCTGGCTCATCTCTGTTCACGTCTGGCCAACCCGTGAGGCCAGTGTAGCCTTCCCACGTCTGGGATGAGCAGAGTGTGACCGGGCAAGGCTAAGCCACCTGCCTGGAGGAGTAGACCAAGCCCACCTGTGGGATGAGGAGCCCCCCAAGTGCCAGTCTCTACCTGCCCCTGTCTTTTTTATCCCACAGGCTCCCCGGGGTCCCCCAGAGATGTCTTGGTCACCAAGTCCGCCTCTGAACTGACCCTGCAGTGGATCGAGGGAAACGCGGGCAGGACGCCCACCACCGGCTACGTCATCGAGGCCAGGCCCTCAGGTAAGGGGCGGGGCTGCGGCACCTGCCAAGCCAAGAGTCTGAGAGTCAGAGCCCTTGGCCTCCTCTCAGGCTTTCCCTAACAATGCAGAGATGAGGGCAATTCGATGAAACGTTAGGTGCATCTCTCCCTCCCTCTCCTCCGTCACCTTGCTGGCATAGATTCTCCATGTTTCACCGCAGTACACATCCCTAGGGGTGTGGTCATTGTCATCCTCAGAAACAAGTACATGCAAACTTAGGGACACTTGCAGACACTTCCAACTCATCAGTAGGATCCAAGAGTGTTTCTAGAGGCTCATCTCGGGCTCTTCATCTTTGCACCCAGAGTCCTGCTCCTTTCTGATCACGATGAAGATTCTTGTTCACAGTGAGGCCCACACATCATCCCATCTTTAGGCTCCTGAAAATGAGGTCTGAGGTCCATTCCCTACCCTGTCTGCCCTAAGAGGGTTTTCACTCCCTTCCTCCCATTCAACGGTAATAACTAAGCATGGGCATTATTAGAAAATCTATTTCTGCTGCATTGAGCCGGCTATTACTCCTGGGAGCTAGGGGGTATCACAAAATGCAGAGAACACTGAGCACGTCCATCGTGACCTTCAGAGGGTGGCACATTTATTTTTTATTTATTTATTTTAAAGATTTTATTTATTTTTGACAGAGAGAGTGTGTACAAGCAGGGGAAGCAGCAGGCAGAGGGAGAGGGAGAAGCAGGCTCCCCACGGAGCAGGGAGCCTGATGTGGGGCTCGATCCCAGGACCCTGGGATCACGACCCGAACTGAAGGCAGACGCTTAACCGTCTGAGCCACTCAGGCCCCCCAGAGGGTGGCACATTTAATCGTGACTATCTGAGCATGAAAATCCACGGTGTGCCGGGGCTGCCTGCAGAAAGCCCGTCACCAGAGCCTGCCCACGGCGCTAGGCATCACTGTAGTTGAATAGTTCAAGAGCCGTTGGGCCGGGAGGAAGGTCTGCGGTGTCATATTCGTCACTGTGTCAGACAAACTGCTCACCAAACTGCTTTTGAGAGATTACTAGTTACAAGCACCTCCTAGTAACTCCTAAGTAGACAGTCTGGTGCCTGAGACAAAACAGCATCCATTAAAGGTGATATGAAAAATTCTTTGGCTCAAGCATTAGCACGTTCAGCGCATCAGCCCAAGGGGTCCTAGGAGCTTGTGTTGAGCAAAGCACTCGGTCTGTTCTGGAAGCGGGGCTCTCAAATCGGTACGGGCCTTCTGTGGCCACTGGGCCCCCGCCCCGTCCCTCTGAAAGCAGGCAGCCCCGAGAGCACACAGCAGGCTCTCTGCTGAGGACATCCGATTCCCCGGCACTTTCCGAGACTGCAGGAGCTTCGAATATGGGCCCAGTGAGGTCTGGGCTCAGCTGAGGGCCGCAGAGGCCGCGCTGACCCCAAGGAAGCAACTCGACGCTTTTCTCCCCAAATCTAGGGAGAGCATTCGTTGCAAAACTTGCTTTGTGAGCTTTCAGGCCCAGCAAGGGGCTCCTGAGACAATCTGGGAGATCCCTGGGTATCACTGACCCCTAACTGAAATTCAGCATTTCCTTCCCTCATAAACACAGGTGTGTTTGTTTACTCCGACTGCCGTAACCACGGACCCCACACTGGGCAGCTTCACCCACGTGCGTGTCCTGTCTCCGCCCGGAGGCTGGGCGTCCAAGGGCAGGGCGTGGCAGGGTGGGTCCTCTGAGGCTGTGAGGGAGGGTCTGTGCGGGCCTCTCTCCCTCTCTCCCGAGTGGTTTGCCCTCAGTCTTGGACATTCCTTGGCTTGTGGAGGCGTCACCCCCATCCCTGCCTTCTCCCTGTGCCCAAATGCCTCCTCTTTATGAGGACACCAGTCATACTGGGTTAGGGCCTCCTCCCAAGACCTCGTCTTCACTAATTACATCCACAAAGACCCTATTTCCAAATAAGGTCACACGCTGCAACATGGCGGATCAGACCTTGAATGCGTGAATTTTGAGGGGACACAATTCAACCCTCCACGGTAGGTAAGAGACCACTTTCGTAGCTGCAGAGCCCGTGGAATTGTGAGCAACAGAAATCACTCTGCTTCCCATCCATCCCGGCAGCACGGGGCCTAACAGCGCTACCCTTGTCATCCGAACACTGCGTGGGCCTTGTCACCCAGCATGGCCCTGGCATCGCGGTGCTTCCTGAAACCCAAGCCTGTGCACCCCGTCTTCCAGAGAACCATGTAGGCTAACACGTCACCCAACGAAAACCACGCGTGACCCACACGGTCCTCAGACCTGGGAGACGGGGCTGCCGGGAATCTCCGGTCACCTCTACGTACCTGCAGGCTTTAGCAGCAGAACTGGCTTCCCCTCACGTTTTATGCATCTAAAGCCATCCCGAGAAGGTGTTCCTTCGAGTCAGCAGATTGCCAAAGGGGGCTGCGGCCCCAAGGAAAGGTAAGAGACCTTGCACTAGAGGACACGCACACACAGAGGACCCCTGCCAACTCCTCTCCTTCTGCCGAGTCCTTGCTCCCCAACTAGTGTTAAGACCCCCCCCCGATGCATGGCTGTGAGGACCACAGTGGGGTCCCTGGGGTGACGGGAACGCTCCGTGTCAGCGTCACTTCCCGGCTGCCATGCTCTGCTACTGTTATGCAAGATGATCCCGTTGGCGGACACCAGATAAAGGACACTCGGTTTCTCTCTGCATCATTTCCCATAACTGCATGTGGTTCCATTTACAATTACCTCAAAATCAAAAGCTCAGCTTAAGATTTTAAAAATATATATATATACATGTATCACACGGATGGTGTCCTGATCAGTCAAGTGCAACAGTGCATCTTTGGAAGGAGCATCTTCGTGTCAGAGATCAGCCATGGGGAATGGACCACGTCAGCGGCCACACGCGGGTGCGTGGGCTCGGAATCCCAGCAGTGGAGAGCACATCCCGGCACTTTCTGAGCAAAGAGAAAGTATTGATTCTCGGGCTTCTCATTGGGTCATCAGAAGCGCATCCATCCACCGTAAGGAAGGAAGCGGGTGTCCTGTTGGAAGAAGGGCAGCTTTGGGGAGTCCGGATGGCAGTGTGAAGACGAGCTACCTGAGACGCCGGCCTAGGTCTCGCACCGAGCCCCACGCCCCGAGGGCCTCGGGCGGCCGGATGCCTCCTGAGATCAGCAGGACCCCGAGCTCCGCCGGTTGGTGCCATGAAGAGGAAACCGGACCCCGGGGACTAAGACGTGACAGGATGCTGACCTGCAAGACGCTGTCTTATTCTATGAGCAATGAAGATTTGCCTCCGCTCTGTTCTGAGACCGTGGTCTCCTTTCAGACCGTGGACCGAACCAGAGCAGCCGCGGGGCTCGCCATCTCCCCGCGGAAGGGTGCCTCCTCCCTCCCGTGATGCAGGCCAGCAGCAACTCAGAGGCAAATGAAATGCTTTTATGGACTGTCAATATTTAAACACCTTGCTGGTGCCTTAGGGCTTTGGATCTCAGCTGTCATCTATTACAGGCCTCATTACACAAAACATTAAACGCTCTATCTTATTTTCTCCACCGAAGCTCTCTGGCAAGACTTTCTCCAGGCAGGCGAGTGGTTTTTGAAGGGAGTGGGGGTCTGGGAGGTGGGCCCAGGTTTTCATGAGGAGGCCCTATTTTTGACGGAGTCCATCTGACACCTGCGGGTCCCTCGCCACAGGGTGTCTAGGGAGCCTGAGCCACTTTGCACTAGGTGGCCCCCGGGTCCCCCCCCAAGTCTGCTCGGCCTGCCATCTTCCCGCCCAGACAAATCTCCATCTTGCACCCAGGAGGCAGGCAGCTCGTCAGCTTGGTGGCTGGTGCCACGAGGTGGCCAGTGGGCTGGGGCAGGTGGCAATGCAACCCCTTCCTCTTCTGCATCCTCACCGTAACCCCTTGCAAATTCTGCAGGATTGCCCCATTGCTGCCCTAACGTGCAGACAACCCAGCAGCAGCTATGAGATTAGCATCTTGGGCTGGAACACAGACTCTTTATTCCTGGGAAGGACAGTCAGTGGGCGCGGACCCAAGGGCAGCCTCGCCAAAGATGCATGTCTCTGGTTGTGCGTACGTTTCCTCCAAGTCACTGTCGCCAAGTTCCCTGGAAGGCCTTGGAAACTATGCAGTGGGCTTATGCAGATGATTTATTTACACAAATTGTCCCAAGGCATTTTATTGTGTAGATCACGAAACTGAATTTACATATTTACACAATAGACTGGAATGGCATAAAGGAACTATAAATGTATTTTCCTCTCTGAAGCAGCCGTGAAATTCATATTTAGGACATACCCGGTACAGGCGGCCTTTTTCACAAACAGTGTTGTTAACCCAGAGCTGAGAGCTGGTCAGCCGGAGGACAGGGCCCGGGTCCCCAGCCCTGATCGCGAGCCCCCCCAACCCGCATCCATGTCTCCCAGCTCCCTCCCCGCTCATTTTGTTCATTTTTGGTCTTTGGCCCTGGGACTTTTCGGTTGAACAAAGAAGAAAATCAGCCTTTTTCCAAAGGTTTAAAATCCGTGGAAATGCCCAAGTTGGCAAATGCGGCAGGCGGGCCGCTGCTGCAGGTCCGACCCTCCCGGGCCTGGCGACCCTCCTCACCCTGGCCCGCGCCCGCCCCCTTCGGGGCATGCACATCCTTTGCTTCTAGACCTTCACCTCATCTGTCTCCTGCCTTCAGCCAGATCAGATAAAAGGTGATTTTTTTTTTTTCCTCAAAGGTCTTTAGCCTCGTGTTTGAGCCCCATGTGCTTCAGTTAGATTTCGGACTGTGACTGATCACTGCCGCAAAGAGAAAAGGCAGTGTTTAAGGAACAATCAGCTGACAGGCCTCCGTTCGCTCCGAGCTGCAAGCTGACAGTCACGTCGTTGGGTGCGTGAGTTAGTGGAACCAGAAATCTGGGACCTGAGTGACAGTTTCATTCAGCATGGAGACCCCGTTTAATTGTCCGTGAAATCAAACTTTTGTGTTGGCCTGGCGTCTGAGTACCTGAGGCACGCAGCTCCGTTCCGGGCGTTGGAGGGGTAAATTGAGCAGCCCGCGGATGTGCCTGAACCAGGCTCCGTCTCAATTCAGGAGAGAGGTGTTCATGTTTCCAGGTTTATTAGGACATGGTCTGGGAGCAGATGTGCCTCCTACCGCCGGGCGGGGGAGAGGCAAGGGCCGTAAGATGGGAACTGACGTGTTCTGTCGGCTGTGGGCAGGTCTGCTTTGAGGCCGTGAAGCCTGTTTAGGTGGGAAAATGGTTCTTTTTTTTTTTTTTTAGACTTTATTTATTTATTTGACAGAGAGAGAGACACAGCGAGAGAGGGAACACAAGCAGGGGGAGAAGCAGGCTTCCCGCCGAGCAGGGAGCCCGATGTGGGGCTCGATCCCAGGACCCTGGGATCATGACTTGAGCCGAAGGCAGACGCTTAACAACTGAGCCCCCCCAGGTGCCCCAAAAGGGTTCTTTCTTCAAGGACCTTTACTATCAGCCTCTTCCCCGTGTTTAGGGCAGAGAGAGGGCAGTGAAGACAAAGCAAAGAGCTCACATTCTTTAAAGAAACACCCAACTGCCGAGGAGGCAGACTGTATGTGGCTTCTCATCGCCTCCCCTGAGGCCGGCGGGATTTGGGGTGTGTGATCACTGGGATCCCTTTAGGAACATGTGCAAAGTTCATCTCTCAGCAGTGTCCCACCCGCTTGCCTTGTGGGAGGGAGCGAGAGTCCAGGCAGGTATACCCTCAAGCATCCAGGAACAGGGACGGGGTGGGGAGCAGGCCCCACACACACATGTGATTTCGGTTCACTCCCCACCCTGGGCCCCCCTCCCACAGACATCAGGAGGTGGCCATCCTGAAGGTCAACCAGGACATTCAAAGCTGTGGGGCCAGCAGGGGACTTTGCACCAGGCATCCGGCAGTCAGGGATGCGGCTTTGGAAGACATTTTGACTCTTCTCTTCCAGCCCGTCCGGGGTTTCCCAGGAGGGTGATGTAGGAGCTCCCCGAATGGGGATGGGAAGCCAGGCTGGGGTTCCCCTAGCCTCCCAGCGGGGGGCAAGCCTCACCTGGGGTCTGAGGGCTGCCTGAGTCAGATCCCCAGAACAGCCTGTAGAACATGCAAAGGCTTGCGTGCCTCCCACGTGTTGATTGAGATGGGAATCTGGCGCTGGGGATTATCCCAGTGTGTGGAAAATCAGTTGCACAAACCTCATTATGGCTAATAGTTCTGTAATGTTATTTTCCCCCTAATTTGGAGAGATACTTTTCTCCATCGTTGATTTATTGAGATATTTAGCAGCATAATACAAATGAGAAAAGCAATCCGCGGTGGAGACAGAGTGGACGCTTCAACAGCTGACCGGCTTTTCTTACCCACTCAGGACCACGATGGAAATGTTAGCGTAGACAGATTGCCCAGTGAATTACAAGCGACGTCTAAAATGCCAAGTGCACTATTTTGGCAAGGAAAAATTAAGCAAAATAAAAACGAAAACGTTTTCTTCTGTTAGCGCAGAAGGAAATTCTCTTGCTATGACTCTCCCTCCCCCAACATTTTTCAGTGTAAACGGATCACTAAATAAATTGTTCTGTGTTGAGATTCTGTATCAATATTTTTTTTTAATTTTTTTTTAAATGCACACAATTCCTGGAGCTATGACAGAGCACTTAAAATAAAATGTGGCCTTTAGGTGACGGCAGAGGAAGGGGAAATAATTTTTTTTCTTCGGTAGCAGGAAAGCATTACAGAAACATTAATGCAAAAGACACTCAGAGAACCCACTCCAGAAGAGTTCAGACCCACTCAGAACAGTCTGAGACTACCTCTCATGCTTAGTCCCTTAATTGCAATGGTTTAAGCAACATTCATTTTAAAAGAGCCTTTATTTTTTTAGTCTCTTTTACATCATAAAATTATCTACCCTTTTATTTTTTTAAGATTGTATTTATTTGAGAGAGAGTGCCGGGGGAGGGGCAGAGGGAGGGAGAGAGAGAATCTCCAGCAGACTCTGCATAGCACAGAGCCCACCAAGGGACTTGATCTCATGACCCTGAGATCATGACCTGAGCCGAAATCAAGAGTCAGATGCTCAACTGACTAAGCCACCCAGGAGCCCCTTGTCAACCTTCTTAGAGGAAAAACACTGCACAATTCAGTCAACATTTAAAGCCCTGAGAATAGTGACTTGATCATAGTAAGTGCTAAATAAAATGGTGGTGGTGGGTATTTACTAGAAGCTGCTTGTGCTAGGCTCTGCAAAGGGCTATGGAGATACATGGATGGATGGATGGATGGATGGATGGATGGATGGATGGGTGGATGGATGGATGGATGGGTGGATGGATGGATGGATGGGTGGGGATGGATGGGAAGATGGATCACATCAATAGATATTTATTGGACTCTTGAAAACTCAAGGGCCCAGTGATGTGGACAGGTAAATGGGAAGGAGTGCTCAGAAAGTCCATTGTTGGAAGCAGGCATCTCTTGCTGGAGCACAGGAGTGAGGTCGAGTAGTCTGAAAGGGAGGAATGACCTCATTGATCTGCCTCCACCCCCTACCCTTAGACTACAAATTGCTCATCTGAACAGAAATCTCACCTGATTCCCCAATGGATGGAACAGGGCCCGAGCAAAGAGTGAGCACTTCAGTATCTGTGGAATGAGTGTGTGGATGGATGGGAGGCAGTGGAGGGGAGAACGGGGCCACGGGGGCTCCCGAGGCACAGGGAGCGGCTCGTGTAGAGAAAATGCACTCTCTGTGCCCATTATTCCCCGATGATTCTTGTGCAAAACTCTGAACATCTTAGACAGCAATCATTCGGTGTGCAAACCTCAATCTGTTAGGGCCGGAGCGGGGAGACTTGAAGACATCGCTTGCCATTTTGACATTACTAGCGGTAATGGGTACCTTGGTGAGAAATGAGTGTGACCGTGACTGTTTAGAAATAAATAATCATTTTGCTCTTTTTCTGCCTGTGCAGAGATTTGTACCTTTAAAATCTCATTCACATCCGCTCCTTCATTAACCTGTGGCTGTAAGGACTTAATGGGTGCAAACTCTATATCCTATGCAAATACAGACTTATACACTAGCAATTTTCTTTCTGCGTGCTGTTGGGCTAATCCACTTGAGTGTATCTGGTGTTCTGAGGTGCGTGATAAGGTTGGTACCAGATAACCCCCGGCTCCCCAGGAACCTGTCCGTGCGTGTGCATGCATATTCAAACGTGCCTTTCCTCTCCCGATCTCCTGCTCTTTTTAAAAGATCACCTACCTGTGCCTGTAAAAGAAATTATAATTCACAATGGATCAGTACTTCAAATGAATATTTTGGGCCCCGAGCCCACTTTTTGCCAAAGCACCTCCTTCGAGATCGGGCTTATACATACTCGTGCCGTGCACTTGTTCGTCTGTGTACAGCATTGTGATAAGCACTTTATAAATAGTACCTTGTTTAACCCTCGAAACAGATGTACGATTTAGATGTCTTTGTTGTCACCATCCTGCAGTTGAGGCCCAGAGAGGTTGGGTACGTTTCCTTGGCCCTGTTGGTGGATGCCTCCGAATCAGATCTATTGGCTTCTGTCTCTCTGCATCTCAACTTCCTGGCTTTAGTTTCAACTTTCTGAATGTTTTCCTACATGTCAGGGTTTAGATAAATTCGATATATATGTTTGTTGTGGCAAAAAATACGCAAGATAAAATTCACCGTCGTGACCCCTTGTTAAGTGTGCAGTTCGGTGGCGTAAAGAACATTCACGCTGTTGTGGAGACAACACCACCATCCATCTCCAGAACTACTTCATCTTCCAAAACTGAGACTCTATCCCCATGAAACCATAACCCCCCTCCCCCCCCACCCCTGGCCCCACCACCCACTCTCTGTGTCTGTGATTTTGGTGAGTCCAGGGACCTCCTATAAATGGGATCCCACAGTGTTTGTCCTTTTGTGTCTGGCTTCTTCCACTGAGCACCGTGTCCTCAAGGTTCATCGATGTTGGGGCAGGTGCCAGGGTTCCTTCCTTTTTAAGGCTGAATGCTATTCCACGGTGCACATGGACCACATTTTGTTTACCCGTTCATCTGTCAGTGGACACTTGAGCTGCTTTCCCCTTTTGACTATTGTGAATAATGCCATGAACACGGGCGTGCAAGTATCCATTCAAAATTCAGTATGTAGTTGTCTAATTTACACTTGTATTTGGTAGCACCAGGGCATAGATGAAAAGGCAAACTGGGGTTCGGGCAGGTTGGATGCTGCAGCCACTTCAAAGGATGAACAAAGTGGAGGGAAGCTCTTGGGGGGTCTGGTGTGCGAGGTTTGGGCAGAGTCCCCAGGGTGAGCAAGTGTAGACCCCGAACCCCTCCGACAGGCCGGCGACATGTCTGCCCACAGCCGTGTGGCCATGACGGCCTCACCACACTGGCCGCTGGAGAGATTGTCATCTCCAGTTAGGATGGGGGAGCAGGTGCTCCAAAGAACCGAGAACCCTGGCTGGAGTGTGCAGATGGCAAGTGACCCACAGGCGGGCCAGGGAGGCAGGATCCCGGGGTTTGGAGGGGCATGGCCAGCCAGAAGGGAGCCAGAAACCCTCAACAGAAGAGGACATCAAGTCAGAAACCAGAGGGAGGCCTGGAGTCTGATGGGATCTGCTGGGATCCGATGGGGTCCGATGGCGAGGAGAACGTTCAGGAACATGCCACTGTGCAGCCTGCAGCCGCGGCAGAGTCTGCGCGTGAGGAGAGGGCTGGCCTCCGCCACGGCCCCCCGGCCCCCCGGCCCCGTGCAGCTCCCCCCACCTCTGGTTCTCACGTCACGTGCCCTGGGCGAGGGCAGCTGTGAGCCCACAGCAGGGCGGGCACCGCGTCAGAGGCAGGAGAAAAGCAGCCCTAACCTCCGCTCTCGTGTTGTCTCTCCAGATGAAGGGCTCTGGGACATGTTTGTGAAGGACATCCCCCACAGCGCCACATCCTACACCGTCAGCCTGGACAAGCTCAGGCAGGGAGTGACCTACGAGTTCCGGGTGGTGGCCATGAACCAGGCGGGCTACGGGGAGCCCAGCAGCCCCTCCACAGCCGTGTCAGGTAGGGAGCCCTGCCCGAGGAGGGGAGTCTCGGGGTGCAGCTCTTCCCTCGGAGGGAGGAGGGATGACTTAAAGCCGGGGTGCAAAGGAAAAGGACAGCGCCAGGCTCCATGTAGGCACCAGCAGGTGTGGGCCCAGCCTAGAGGACACGGTGCGGGGGGAGCAGCGTGCGTGAGCCCATACCACCACCACCACCAGGCCCCTGACTGTCCTCACCACACTGCACTTAAGCAATTCTTAATATCTGTCTCATTTTTTCCTAATCAGAGACCCTTGCCAGAGTCAGGGCAGTTGGCTTGAGCTAAGCAGTGTGCTGTCTGGGGTGAAGGCATCCCCCAGCCCCTCCCGTCAGCTAAAGGCTCCTTACTGGGCAGCCTTGTGCAAAGCTTGCAATGTGAGGATCACCCCAGCAGCCACGGGGAGGAGGGGTGGGGTCTCTTAGCACCCAACCCAGGTTGTATCTGATCCGGGCATCCTCTGGGATGGCTGAGTGGCCCACGTGCGCCCTGGGCCAGTCGCCACCCTGTACCATGAGCCCCCGGCTCCACTCTGGGTGGAAGAGGCAAGGTTTCTTTCCCGGAGCTTGTGGGGTGCTGATGACAGACTAGCCGTCCTCACCAGCCCTGTGGCAAGGGGTGCAACAGATGGGGGGAAATCAGGAAGGGCTTCTGGAAAGAGGGACCACGCGTCTGGGTGGTGGAGGGTGCATGGGGCGAGGCCACAGGGGAGGGAGCAGCAGAGACAAAGTCCCGATGGTGGGTCGGCAGGAGGGAGGGGAGGGGAGGCCTGCTCAGCCCCGCCTACACCTGGCATTACCAGGGTTGCTTGGAGGACGCCCCTCTGGGGACCCCACCCAACACGGTGGTCACACCTCCTGGGGCTCTGCCATGGATCTGCCGGGCAGCTGGAGGGATTTCAGGGAGCAGTGCAGAGGCGTTTTAGAAAGGGAGCTAGCAGCCCACCGCAGGCCGTGGGGCAGGCGGGGTGCAGGCCAGGGGGGCAGGCGGGGGGGGCAGGCAGGGGGCCAGCAGGGGGGCAGGCAGGGTGCAGGCCGGGAGGCAGGCAGGGGGCAGGTGGGGGCAGGCGGGGGGCAGGCCAGGGGCAGGCCGGGGGGCAGGTGAGGCCAGAAACAAGACAGCGTCCCTACGACCAAGAGAAACACGTTGCCCGTCCCTGGCATGTAGATTTGTTTAAGCTGCCAGCTGCTCTTGTTTAAATCAAGAACACCTTCCGTCTCCTCTTTGCCATGAATTTGGAGGAAGGACCGTGTCTGTGGGCAGGCTCGGGCCACGAGCCCTGGCAGCTCGGGGGGGTCTGCCAAGGAGCCCCAGCACGGCGCGGGCTTGTGTAACAGTAAGACTTAGACAAATCAAAATGTTCTCATTTCCTTCACTTTTCTTATGAAAAATTTAACATACCCTCCAAAAGACAGATTAGAATAAGGAATCCCTGGGCACCCATCACCCCAGTCAAGCAAGTCAAGGTTTGCCTCTCTCGGTTCCTCTGTGGAAAAGCTGCGTAAAGCAATTCCAGATGCACAGGGCCTTTCATTCCACACGCACACAGCCCGGGGGGGCAAAGGCTGGTTCCTGCAGAAGAACGTGGCCCTCACCCTTCTGTTCATGGGGCCCGCGGCTGGGCCATGCTCTGAAGCCCGCTGCACCCCCTTGCCAGCCGCGGCTACCGACGGGACTGTGGTCAGCTTCCTCCGTCCTTCAGAGCAGCGGCCGGACAGTGGACCTGCGGGGTCCTGCCCCAGGGGATGGGCGCGTACCTGCGGGTACCCAACCTTTCTTTTCCAGGCCCACCTGGGTGCTCAGTTGGGATTTGTTGGCTCATTATATGGAGCAATTAATGTACAGCCTGAAAACCACTTATATATTTTGGATTCAAAATGCTGCCATCTCCCAAGAAACCCTGTGCTGTCATGTTATCTAAAGTCAGTTCCCCCCTTTTGTCCCCAGTGTGCACACATTTTTCACTCATCCAGTGAGAGATTGAACCTAAGGTAGATGTGTCTTCTGGGGGCTTCAGCAGCTGGGAGGCAGACCGCGGCTTCCTGTTCTGTTCGGTCTGATGCCTCCCAACCAGCTCCCCTGCGGGGGGGGGGGGGGGGGAGAAGGCACCAGCGGGACCCCAGGGCCATCCAGCACCTACAAGCAACAATTCCCATGTTTCTGTTCTTAGTAAAACAGAATAAAACATGAGCAAGAAGGGTATCCTCCTTCAGAGCAACTTTTAAATGAACCTTTTCTATTCGTTTCTCAAAAAACGTATCTAGAGATGGGGCCAGTGGTTCTGCTCAGTTTTGCTGGAGGCAGGAAATACAGCACAGCGCAGCCCTTGGGGAGGCCTGGTATGACAGAGGCCAGTGGGGAGCTCTTGCACAACAGGTTTCCATGCAGGAGTGGACGGGATCCAGCACTGGATGGGAGTGCGCAGGAGTCAGCTCACGGGGTTCACGGGCTTGGACTGTGCCCCGGGGCTAACGTGGGGCCACCGAAGGCTTTTAGGAAGGGGCTGTTTGTTTCCATCGGAGGATGATCTCCCTGGCGACAATATGCAGAAGGGATGGGGGGAAGTCAGGAAGAGGCGAAGCCGCCAGAAGGGGTTGTAGGGGGGCGGCGTGGTGGAGACGGTAAGGGGCCCCAGGGGAACATCTGGGACAGAAGCCTGAGCACTTGAGGATCGGACAATGTCTAGGCACATTGGTCCTTCCTCCCTTTCCCCCGGACAACATCCGTAAGCAGATGAAATCGGGGGACATAGTGCGAAGGGTGGTGTGGACGGGCAAGGACAGGGCGAGCTCTGGGACAGGGCAGCAAGGGTGCCAGAGGGGCCCAGGCTGGTTCCCCCAGAGAAGGAGCAACTGCCGAGGAGCCCGTCGTGCCTGAGTTCATGCCTGGGAAACTGGCCCCTCGGCCGCCCTAAGCCACACCAGCCGGGCATGTGGGGTTCATCTTCCCCACGACTTGGGGCTGCCCCACACATCCTTCCGCCCCACCCCTGGGCCACGGACAGGGGGCAGGAGTCCCCATCCCATGTGACCCTGTGTTCCTGTGCCCTTCAGCTCAAGTGGAAACCCCGTTCTATGAGGAGTGGTGGTTCCTCCTGGTGATGGCGCTCTGCAGCCTGATCGTCATCCTGCTGGTGGTGTTCGCCCTGGTCTTGCACGGGCAGAACCGGAGATACGGGAGCTGCAGCACAGGTGGGGCGTCCGCCTTGTCCCCCCCACCCCACCTCCAAAAGTGTCCATGCACTGGGAAACTGAAAGGTCAATGTCTTCTCTGTCTCTCTCTCAATCCGGGATCCGTGTGGTGCGGGCATCCGCTTTGCATTTCGTTTGCCTGTGGGTAATGAAGTAGGTGCAGCAGATTTCCTTTGGGAGGAGCTCCCTGTAGCAACCAAGCACCCTCGACCCCGGCGGTCCAGGTTCAGGTCCTGGCTCTGACCGCCAATGAGCCGTGTGTCTTGGATCCGTCACGTGGGTGGTTTTGGCCTCCCTGAGTCTGTTCCCTCCTCTGCACCATTGCCCAAATGCAATAGTATTTTTGAATATGACATACAGAGCGTCAAACAGGTGAATCACCATACTACTCAGTATCACGAGCACGGTGAGCCGGGCGCATCTCAGAAACGTTGGTGCGGGTCCTGGAGCCGCGTGTGGAAACACGCTACAGGGTACACCCATAGATTGAGCGTGTACCTCGCCTTACGCCCATGTTCCAGCTCCAAGCCCTCTGACACCCGGCTCACTTTTGCATTCCCCAGCATAAGCTCCACGCCTGGCATACAGGAGGTGCTCAATAAGTGTTTGTTGCTACATGAATCACCCCCATCAGAGAAATGGACAGATGAACATGGGGCAAAGCTGGACTCCATTTATGGGAAGGTCAGGAAAAACCCAAATGAGCGGAAGTTTCTAGAACACAGAACAGTGGTTGTCTCCTGGCAGAGGAGCATCAGCAGAGAAGGTCCGTGAGGGAACCTCGGGGTTCCGAGAGTGCTGTGTTCTGTGTCTCCAGCCGATGGTGCTTATACACGTAACAGACACAGCACCCCAGAGGCTTACGATTAGAACACTCAATGCATTCTATTCTCCTCAATTTTTAAAGAACTCTCGTAATTACCCGTGAGACCCGTTCCTTGCACTGTCAGAATGTAACTGTGCTCCAGATGGTGCTGTGTCCCCCCAACACGCACAGCTGTAGCTGGGCCACGCGTGTGAGCAGCTCTGTGATGTCATCACGGCAGCAGGTCCCATGGCTGGAGCTTTCCCTACCAGCTCGTCTGTTTTTGCTTCTTAGGAAGGTGGATCCCTGATGGGGTCTCCCACAGACGAGTGGGCACCTGAGCCCCTGGGGGTGAGGCACTGGGCTGAATGGCTCCCCCGGCACCCCCCCAGCACCATCCCTCACTGCACCTGAAGGGTTAACAGAGCCAGACACCTCACCATTTGCTTTCCTAACATTAAGCAATTCATCCCTCCAAGAAAGGATTTATTTTTTTCTGTATAAATTCACTTCTAACAAGTGTTCGTAAATCAGATTTTATTCCTACGGGATTTACTATGTATGAACGGCATGTCATTTTACTGAGTTAATGCTATTACAGAATCCTGTGTCTGGCGCATAGAAAATCTCCCCGCTTTTCACTCCTTCTGCATCTGGAAAACAGTCCTGAAAAGACAGTCTGACCTGCAGCTTCTGATAGTCAGCCTCACCCTGGAGTATTAATTTAACATCATAATTGAAGCCTAGGGGGAAAAAAAAAGTACTCGTCTACTAGAATGTCTGACTTGCTGCCAGGAACCATGCAGAACCCAAACCTTCGAGATTACGGCCCAACCCCCTCCTGCTTGCTCCCCTCACACCACCGTCCTCAAGGGACTTCCTTTCTGAGAGCGGTTTTCACCTGCTCACCCTCTCATCAGCCCAGAACCCACTGGCCAGCAGCCCCGTCCTCCCTCCATCTGCTGGCCTGTGTTCTGTCGGCTTCCCCTGCTGCACGCACCTCGAGCATCTGGGCCCGTCCAGGGGCGCTGGGTTCGTAGCAGAGAGGGCACCCTGGGGTTGTAATGAACCTGGAGCAGGCTCCTGTTCTGGAGGTGGAGACAGCGGGAGATAAACAGGGTGAGGTCCCCACCTCCAAGAGCTGTGGTCGAGCCGGGGAAGATGGAAGGCAGACAATAAGGAACAAGCCAGTATGTCAAAAATGCACCACGGGAGAGGCTCTGCAGGCCTCTGGGAGCAGAGGAAGAGGAGAAGGAGGTCCGGAAGATTCTCTCTGGTCCCAGCACAGGGACAGCCCTGAGGACACGAAGCCATCAGAAACCCTTCAGCCCCTTTGGTTTCCCACAACTGCACTGTTATTCATTTGATCTGCTGACCTGTTTTAAAAAACGTTTTCATACGTATTTATAAGTTTATGGTTTTTAAGTAGCTTTTAGTATATTGACAGACATATGCAGTCATCACCACAGCCAATTCTAGAACATTTTCACCACCCCAAAGATGCCCTGTCCCCTCCATGGTCCCCCCTCCCCATACATCTACTTTCTCCTTACTATTTTATTACATGGTCGTGAGTTTTTTATTTTGAAATATATTCAATATTTAATTTCCCTGCTTTTTAAACAAGGTTATACATTCTGAAGACTCTTTCATAAAATACTGGTAAGAATATCAGTACTTTGGCGTCGGGCAAATAAACACGGAAATGCTCCAGCATCACTGTCCTTCATGTGCAGCTTCCTTGCCAGCGTGCCTCTGATACCTTGCAAGGCCAAGCAGGTCGGGCCCGGGCTCTGCCTCCAGCAGGAGCTCAGCAAACACCCGTACACTGACCGGCTGGGGCTCAGCATCGCTGCGCCGGGCCCTCACCTGGGACATTGGAACCCATTCTCCCATTCTTGCTGCAGGTAAGAGCATCTCCAACATGGAGGAGTCCGTGACGCTGGACAACGGGGGGTTTGCTGCCTTGGAGCTCAACAGCCGTCACCTCAATGTCAAGAACACCTTCTCAAAGAAGAATGGGACCAGGTAGGGACACAGCAGCCATAACCCCCCTCTGCCCGAAGATCTGCACCAGCCACGGTGGGGGTGCCGGCCACAGACATGCCACCATGCCTGCAGGCACCCAACAAGTCCCAACAGGGCAGCATGGAGCCTGGGGGGAGAAGAAATGGCAGGGGGCAGGGGGCATCCTACATCCCCCTCTGGAGCTACAAAAAGAAGCATATCTCAGGCAGGAGGGGCGTGAGCTCGGGAGCCCCCCACCTCCCCCGGCTGGCCCTCGGGGGGCTGGCTGCACGCATAGGATTAGCGAATTCCTACTCCACATGCCATCACGCGAAGCTGTGGCAGACTGACCATCAGCAGGGATGGCCTCTCACCGATGTGACCGCGGCCGCAGGGCGGGTCAGGAGGCCGCCAGGGGAGGATGCCCCCGCAGCCCAGAGGTGCCCTGAGCCCGCGGCCCTCCCTTGTGGCCCTGTCCTGTCCTAGGTCCCCACCACGGCCCAGCCCCGGCGGGCTGCACTACTCAGACGAGGACATCTGCAACAAGTACAATGGAGCCGTGCTGACCGAGAGTGCCAACCTCAAGGAGAAGTCGGTGGACGCTTCGGAATCCGAGGTCAGTGGCGGCCGCCGCCATCCCCTGCCTCTGTGACCAGCCCTCTGCCTCCCCGTGGTGCCGCCTCTCGGGTCCCGTCTGAGTCTCACAGCCCCTCCGGGCAGCAGGGCCAGTGGGAAATGACTCCCTTTTATAGAGGAGGAATTCCATGCTTCAGCTCCTTCGGGCCTGGAGGTCACGGGTACTGGGCCAACTCAGATCAATACCTCACCCAAAGTGGCTTCTGATCCCGAAGCTGGCTCACTTTCTGTTTGGCTTTCAGAAAGCAACCGTGTTTTCTGGTGGTGACCGTAGAACCTGGCTGGTAGACCCCAGCTGCAGGGGCGGATGGCCTGAGCCTGCAAAACCCACCGAACCCGGGACGCCAGCCCTGGCATCCCCTTCCCCTCCGTCCTGCCCTGCTTCCTTGTGCTAAAGGGGGACTTAGCCACTGCCCTTCTGGGACCGTTACAGGGTCTGGAAAACTCTGACTTGTCCCTGTCCTCACTGAGCAGATGGACCAGGGAGATCTTGCCCCCGAGGAGTGCCCCCCACCTGGGACCCATGGGCCTGCATATGGGAGGCCTCCTGAGCATCTGAGCATTCATGCATGGAGCTGAGCATGCTGGGGGCAAGGTCTCCATCAGGGAGCAGTCAGGGGAGGATGTCCTCCGGGGGCAGCCGTGGGAGTCTCCTTCAGGGGCTCAGCTCCCCCACACCCGGCCCCCGGAAGGTGCCTTTCCCCACAAGGGTGCTCCCTCGGTGCCTTGCATTTACGAGCAAAACCAGCTAGAGCGGCAGTTAGAGAGGTGGTCCTCCATCAGTCCTAAACTTTTTTATTTCACATATGCCAAGTCTTGAGAGAGAGGAAAATCACCAAGCCATTTGCTGGACACGTAGGCCTGCCCCACCTCTTGGCATTCATACGCTAAATCAATATTTAATCTAAAATAAGTCTCACCTTCATTTGGACCTGAATTCAGGCCTTATTAAACCCCGAGGCTCAATAAAATGGCTTCTCTTAAATTGTGCTTTGTATATGAACTCCAAGTGAGATGGGGCGGCAGGTGGATGTCGTGTGATATTGCCTCCACTCCGCTCTGGGCTTTCTGTTTACAAAGGACGCCAGGCGCCCTGTCCGTCCCGTAGCCTCAGGCGTGGGGAAAACAGCAAGCAGCACCCAAGAGGTTTGGAAAGGTACATGTGTCGGCAGTCAAGGGGCTGTCAAGTGAAATGTGGCAAAAATGACCTGCCTTTTCGTGATAAGGAAATAGCAGCTTTTCTCGAGCTGCTCTGTCTGCTTGCACCAAGAGCCACACGTTGGGAATGAGTAGGATGGCCTTCTAGCAGATGCCGCCTGTGGCAGCAGTTAGAGACGCGTTCGCGGGGCTCCTGCATGGCCTCTGTCCGTAATTCCGGGACCTGCGGCTGTCTGGGGCTCACAGACCTCCCACATTGGCCCTGCAGGTCGAGCTCGTGGCGGTCCAACAGAGGATAAGCACTAACTGAGCACCTACTATGGGCCAGGCACACTCATCTCATGCTCACACCATCTCATACGTTGCCCCATTGCCTTCTGTCCCGTGAGGTAGAGCGATTCTCCTCATTGGCTAGCCGACAAGACTAAGCGTGAGGTCATCCAGAGCTTGGCAGAGCGCCGGCCTCCACTGTCTCTTCCAGCTCAGCACCCCGGGGTCAGCAGCCTGGGTTGGATGCATGAATTCTGAACTCTTTGTTCATGAAAGCATTCTCAGAATGGGTTGACGGGCCGCATCCAGTCTGTCTCTCCTCTCACACAAGTGGGGTGTTTTGAGATGCAAATTCAGCTGGTTTTGATGTAGGATTATTAAGTGTATACAGGCACTGAGCTCGGCATATACACACATGTGTACATGCGCACATACATCGATACCTACATACAAACACACAGAGGCACAGAGGGTGGAGGAGGGAGGGAGGGGGTGGGGGTAGGGAGGGAAGAGGGGAGGAGGGCAGGTGTTGGAGAGAGGGGCGTGGAATTCACACTAAATCCTGCAAGGAGGTTGTCATGATCCTCATATAATAGAGGATAAAGCTGAAGCTTATGGAAGTTCTTATGTCTTCCCTGGACATGCGCTGATGGGGGCGGGGGGGAGGGGGGCCTTGAAAGGCATATCTGAGCACCGGGCTCCCAGTTCTGTCCCTCCCCACAGACCTGCTGCACAGAATTGAGTTGTCCTAGCTCTAGGACTGTGGCTAAGCGCAAGCCCTGTGCCAGGAGGAAGGGGTTCCTTTTATAATTCCCACAGATGCCTCTTGTGGTTCCCAGTGCTTTCTGGGTCAAGGGCTCTATCAGGAACCCAATGAGAGGTTAGACACTGTCTCTATATATGTGCAAAATTTCACCTAGGATCTGGGGGTCCAGGCCCCTGGAAAGCTCTGACCATCACCTCCACTTGAAATTCCCATGCCTGGGTTCTATCTGCCCCCTGGGTCCTTGGGTAGATATAATGAGGCCCATCCTTTTTCCAGAGTTCTTTGCTTTATAATCTTGATAGGTGCTGTCTTTGAACCTTATGCATTTGGGAGATTTGTAGGCACTAGATATTCACGGGATCCCAACAGAGGGACATGGGGACGTTCATCATCTCAGAAGTGCCAGCTCAGATGGGAGAGTTTGCTTTGAACCACATTTATTAAACAGCTTGATTGAGATGTAATTCACATACCACAAATTCACCCATTTGGAACGTGGGTTATTTAGGAGTGTGTTTTTAATTTCCTCATATTTGTGACTTTCCAAAATGTCATTCTGTTACTGATTTTTTAATTTTTTAATTTTCTTCCATTGTGGCCCAGGAACATGCTTTGTATATTTTCAATCCTGTTAAATATGTTGAGTCTTGTTTTATGGTCCGTGCCAGAAGAATGTTTCATATGCACTTGAAAAGAGCATGTTATTCTGCAGTTGTGCGGAGTGCTCTGTATGTGTCTGTGGGGTCTGGCTGATTCCCAGAAGTCACCTGGGTTTTTGATCTTCTGCCATCCACTAATGTATTGAAGTCTCCAACTATTATTATTGAATTGTCTATTTCTCATTCAAATTCTGTCAATTTGTGTATTTTGGGGCTCTGTCTTCAGGTAGATATATGTTTATGATAGTTATGTCTCTTAAATGGATTGACCCTTTTGTTAATACAGTATGTCCCTCAGTCTCTAGTAACAATTTTGTCTTCAAGATTATTGATTACTCAGCCACTCCAGTTCTCTTTTGGTTACTGATGACATGGTGTTTCATTTCCATTCTTTTACTTTCAACCTGTTTGTGTCTTTTAATCTAAAATGTGTCTCTTACAGATAGCGTGTAGCTGGGTGCATATCAGTTTTGTTCTGCCAATCTCTGCCTTTTGACTAGATTGTTTAATCCATTCACATTTAATGTAATTACTGCTAAGGTAGAATTTACATCTGCCGTTTTGATATTTGTCTTTTGTATGTCTGATATCTTTATTCCTCTTTTTCTCCCACTTACTTCCTTCTCTTTTAAGTGAAAATTTTCCAGTGTACCATCTTAATTTGCTTATTTTTGCTTCTACTCTATTTTTTTCAGTTATTTTTGTTAGTCGTTGCTCTAGTATCAACATTTACTTAAGATTTATACTAGGGGTGCCTGGGTGGCTCAGTTGGTTAAGCATCCAACTCTTGATTTCAGCTTAGGTCATGATCTCAGGGTCATGGGATTGAGGTCCACATCAGGCTCTGTGCTCAGCAGGGAGTCTGTCTGCTTGAGATTCTTTCCCTCTGCCCCGCCCCCCCAATTCTCCACCTCATGTGCTCTCTCTCTCTCCCACACACAAATAAATGAATAAATCTTTTAAAAAAAAAGATTTATACTAAATCTTGGTGACATGTAGAACTTTATTCCTATACAGCTCTATGGCCTTCTCCCCTTTCTGCGTTATTACTATACGTATTACGTGGGTATATCCATACCGTTTCAAACTCAAGAATACATTTTTTATAGTTACTACTTTACAGTATGTCTTTAAAGGAAGTCAAGGGAGGAAAGGAGAGCAAGTATATTTCTGGAGTTTACCATGATAGCCTGCTTATGTACTTTTTCTGGTCCTCTTCATTTCTTCTTGTGGATTCAAGTCACCATTGGGTGCCATTTCTTCACCTTCTCCTTTGTGCTGTTATTGTTAAATATTTACATTTCTATACATTATAGGCCCAACAATACAATCATATACATATTGTTTTATGAAATTGCTTTTTAACTCAGGTAAGAGAAGAAAGGGGAAGACATATGCAATCATACTCTCTTATAACTACTCATGTGTGATCACTTTTGTTGATACATTCTGTCTTTTCATGTGAATTTGAATTTCTGTGTCGTTTGCTTTCAACCTGTCGGTCTTCCTTCGGTATCTCTTGTAAAGGCAGGTTGGCTAGCAAAGAATTTTCCTGTTTCTGTTTATCACAGAATGTCTTTATTTCACCTTCATTTTCGAAACTAGTTCTGCTGAACAGACGATTCTTGGTTGGCAGTTTTTATTCAACGCTTTGACTACGTTGCCCCGTTGCCTTCTGTCCCCCAGTTTTTTCTGATTAGAAGCCCACTCTTAATATTATGTGAGTTCCCTTGTCCATGATTTCAAGAGTTTCTGTCTTTGTGTTTTTGACTGTGAGGTGTCTGGGTGTGGACTTGGTTCAGTTTTATCTTACTGGGTGTTTATGGAGCTTTTTGGGTGTGTGGATTAATGCTTTTGATCAAATCTGGAAAGTTTTAAGTCATTTCTTTGCCTGTTTTTTCTGCTTCTTTCTTTCTCCTCTCAACCCAGTGCTGTCATGAGGGTCTCACGTCCCAGTGCTCTGTACCTTTATCAGATTCTCTCTTCTTCTGTTGTTGTTCTTTCTTGTATGTGTTCATTCTTTTTTCTCTGTGTTTCAGATTGCATAACCTCTGTCAATATCTCCATGTGCCTTGATTCTTTCCTCTGCCAGACCCAGCGTACCATGGGGCCCTTCTGATGATTTGT